GAGAGAAGGAAGTCTTCTAAATGTTTACACCGAATTGGCTTCCGACAAGTGTGAATGTTATTCTGCTGGTACATTGAGGTTTTCAGGTCACTTTATTTCTTCTGCAGCTATCTGTGATATTCAAAATTGGTTCCTGGGGAAGAGGAGTCTCCAGGGTGATGTGAAGACCTGAGGATAGCAGTTGGAGGTTGGGAATGGGCAGAAATTAGGGAGCTCTCTGCCTTAGCAGAAAGTACCACCACTTAAGGGACATGTTCACTTTTTCTCTATGACATCATATCTTGCACTCCTATTTTTTTTTTAGAGGAGATGTGAGGAACTTTGGTGCTCCAGATGTTTTGAATCACAACTCCCCACAGTCCCTTAGCTTTCTTAGCTGAGCCTCCTACGAAATCCAGGTTCAAGACATCTGGAGTATCACTGGTGCTTTAGAGCAGTAGTTCCCAAACTTGGGACTGCAACTTCCACAAATCCTGGCCAGCACAGCTAGTGGTGAAGACTTCTGGGAGTTTTAGTCCAAGAATATTTGGGGACCCTAGATTGGGAACCGTTGATTTAGAACATCTTGTTGACATCCTTCTTGACTCCTAAGATCTTCAGGGCAGGTCCTTGTCTCAGTCCTACCACCCTCTCAGGCTGGGTTGGGAGTTGGGGGCACTGTTTTACGGTGGTTCTGCTCCTTCCTAGCTGACCATGTCCAGAGGGTGGTGTTGGGGGACAGTTGCTCTGCCCCATGGCATTTATGTCATGGGGTTCCTCAGGGCTCAATACTGTCCCCCATGCTGTTTAACATCTACATGAAACCGCTGGGAGAGGTCATCAGGAGGTTTGGGCTGAGGGGTCAGCAATATGCTGACGATACTCAGCTCTACCTCTCATTTTCCACCAATCCAGGTGAGGCGGTTTCTGTGCTGAACTCGTGTCTGGACCTGATAATGGACTGGATGAGGGTTAATAAATTGAAACTCAATCCAGACAAGACGGAAGTGCTGTTAGTGGGTGCTTCGCCAGACAGGTTGGAGGGCCATTTCCCTGCCCTGAATGGGGTTACACTCCCCCTAAGGGACAGCGTCCGCAGCCTGGGAGTGCTCCTGGACCCCAGTCTAACTTTGGAAGCCCAGGTGGACTCGGTGGCCAGGGGCGCCTTCCT